ACCATCAGCCGACAGGTCATTGGGGAGAAATGACGACGACGAGTGAGTAGTATTGGGCACTGCCCCCACCCACACACACACACACACACACACACACACCCGCGCGCGCGCGCACACACACACACACACGCGCGGGCACACACACACACACACCCCACACACACACACATACACTTTGGAGAAGGGGTGATGCCATCTCTGTATTGACTATCAGCTATGCGCGATGAGACGCCCTAAACCCCAAATTTAAACCTGAAACCTTAAACGCGAGGCCCTGAACCCTAACTTCCCACCCAAGCCAAGGGGCGTTGGTACGCTCTCCTTATACCCCGGGTGGGGCAGCTGGCGCGTTTGGGATGTATGTGCCTGGAGCTTTCCACAGTAAGTTTTGGTGCGGTCGAGCAGGGTCGTTCTGGGTGCATGTGGCAGTAGAGAAGAGCGTGCCCAATCATTGGAGTCACTCTCATTGTGTATTGGGGTGAGGACGGTGCCCAAACTTTAAACAAAGATCCCTTGATGAGAAGCGTGAATGTAGGCGGAAGCTGGAAACCCGAGAAGGAATAAACTTGGGCGGACGCCTGCGCAAGCAAGGGGTGGGAGAATAAAGCAACACACCTATCCTGCCTTTGGGTTCTGATCCGCGATGTGCCGTCGCGACGTATCCCGTCCCCCACATCCTTGGCTGTATCGGGGTGCAATTTCCGCATCACCTCCAGCTGTGGCGCAACAGCCTCTATAATAAAGCATCATCACGAAAAGGGGGTTCGGTGGGATCCTACGGCTCCAACAGAGAACAATCAGGGAAGGGAGAGTCTGCGGTTTTTACTGCTCTGAACAAGAAGTCGTAAGAGAGGGAAGAGAAGGAAGTGGCTCAGTCTAATTTAGTTTTGAAGGGGATAGTGCGGGAGGGCAGGGTTACGAATGGCTGGGTACTTGAAGATAAAGCTCGGACTTTATGTTTAGAGGCGTGGCATTGAAAACCAATCAAACTGAATTGGAATCAATTCTGAAACTCATCAAAACTAAACTCTCTTAAAACTCTATTCGAAAGCAATTCTGTCAGCGAAAATCAAGTGGAAATCTCGTTAAAACATCCATTACAAACAAGTTTTCGGTGGCTCCGCCATTGACCCACCAACAAGAACTCGGCAGTGCTGACTCCAGACGACTAAAGAAGAACCCGATCGAAGTGCAGGGGCGTGCAATGCTTAATGAAGTAAGGCGTTCAAAGCACTCTTCTGGACCGCCTATTCGTTTTGGGGGATGCCAGTTACGCAAGGGTGTTCTGCTGCAGAAGTTGGCAAGAAAACATGGCCTTCAAATATGAAAGCCGAACTTTAGTACTTTGGGAAACTGGAATCTGATGGTAAAGCTCTTCTGGGCTGGATAATGGTGAAACTGAGACCCAAGAGCTATTGGATCTAAAGGCCTCGGCTTTAGATGAACACGGCCAGACCCTATTCAACCTGGATCAATCTGGAAGTTGATGCATGAAGCCAAAAACGTCAGTTTTGGCATTAACGGCTTGATCGATCAGGCTACGCAATCAAATTCCAAAAGGGGCCAACGCAGCAGGCCCCCAAGATATCAGGAAACCCTAAACCCATGCCTATAACACCCTAAACCCTAGGTCCTAGAAGGGTCCTGCAGGTTGGGATGTTCGAGTCTAACGCTGTTGGGTTCGAGGGCAGACTTTGGCAACGTCATGGGGTGGATAAACGGTTTTGGGGATTCAGGTTTGGGGTTTGAAGTTTTAGGGTGCGAGAAGCGGATTTGGGAAACATCCCCAGAGATCTTGTAGAATTGTGCCAATATATTGTAATCGCCATCAGAAGCAACGTTTGGATTCTAAACCTTGAAACCTTAGGAGTCTAATTGAAGTAGAGCAAACAAGGTCTCAAAGCCCTAAATCCCAAACCCTAAACCGTGTGTAGTCAGCTTGCAGGCTCGGGGGGTTTGACGTCAAGGGTTACAGTCCCCCTTAAGTACATCGAGAATGGCGTTGGGTATATTCTAATAGGATCCCCACCCACCCTACATTTTATCCATATTCTATCTACTTAAGGAAGACTATAAGGCATGGTTTCCGGTAGTAACGCACCTATACGCGGTAGAGGGTTTAGGGTGTAGGGTAACAAGATTTTTTGAGGGATCCCTGCAATAAGGTGTAATATTGGGATCTATCTTGAGGGTCACTCTTTATAACAAAAGGAAAACCTTGCTGCCCCCTCATGTGGCCCTGAAGAAGAAATCTCAGTTGAGGGGAGCCCGGGGAGGAGGGGGGGGGGAGGGAGGGGGGTGTGGCATTACTTGAGACAGCAGTATGTCAAAGTCCTGAATCTTGATGCCCCGGGAGCTTTATGGGTCTATGGAAGATTCCGTTCGACATTGGTTTCTCAACCCACCAAGAGGTGCAGTTCTGCTGTGTAGAATCTTGTACATAATTAGATAATTAGGCATACCATCTCCGTGTCTCTCGCAGATACTATTTCCTTAAACGCGCTTCATACCCTCATTAGGCCTCTTTTTCTTTATAAATCGGGGACTGCGCTTCAGGGTTCAGAGACTTGAGATTAGAGTTCCGGGATTAATGTTGGACTCGCTTTAGTTAGTATGTACGATACCCCCCCTCAAACAATTTGAGGACCCTGAATTAAAATTGTCTGAGGGGTCTCAGCTGAATCCTAACGGTATTGGTGTTAGTATCAGTGTCAGTATCAGTATTAGTATCAGTATTTGTATTCGCATTCGTATTCCTATTCCTGCTCCTATTCCAACTCGTATTCGTACTGATATTAGTATTCTTTGAGCAGCTTGCATTTGAGCTTTCAGTTGAGCTTGAGCTGAACGACCTCAGCAAGTTTCGGCTCTCAATTTTAATTAGGTTTCAATGTGTGTCAATTGGGTATTCGATTTCAATTGATTTTAGCGGAATTTCAATTGATTTCCAAAGGCTTGGCCTTATTTCAGGAGGCCCCCCAGGACGGTTGGACATTAGAGAGGGTACCTAAACATGGTCACTGTAGAGGAGCGCTTTTGGAAAATGTTCAAGGCTAGCAAACCAGGTAATTGAGTTTAACTGGCTCTCTGGATTTGGGAGCGTTAAGATTTTGTAAATCCAGGCCTTTAAACATTAGAGCCCTGTTGCTGAGAGCTCTTGGCTGTTCAGGGTTTGCAAGCAAATAGTACGGTTTTAGGAATTAAGTGCCCTTAAGCTAACATCTGGGCTGTACAGGGCTTCAAAGCAAATAGGTTTTAGGAATTAGGGCCCCTGAAGCTCTGACTTATCTGATGAAGAATAATTCATTACTATTCAACACTAAATGTTTTATTGTTCGAACCTAGGAATTACTACTTTGGCTCCAAAACTTGACATTAAAGAGGGTCCCTAAAACATATTCAGATCCTGAATAAGCCCCGAAACATTGACATTAGAGAAGACGGTGCCCATGCATGACAGAGTCCAACATTAGGCTTTTATTGGAGGTAGACAAGGGACCCCACTCCTTGAAAATGCCCAGCATATGGTGCTGAACCCTGACCATGAGTGCAGGATGATACTTCGTTGGAACGCCTGACTGAAGTGCATCTGGTGGCATTGAGCTTCGTCAGCCCTTTGCCTTGCTGGTGCAGGGTTTTGGGTTCATGTCTAAAGGGAGGAGTGCGTACAGCTAGCTTTCTGGGCTTTACGGTATACATATCCTCTCCTTCCGTCCCACTTGAGAAGCGTTCAGCTTTCCATGCTTGCTTCGCAGACACGTTTCCCATCCTTTGCCTGCTTGTTCAAAAACAATCAAGATTTTCAGCTTCTCTGCAGTATTTGGACCTGAACACTGAATCCCTTACCCTAAATCCGATTCATGCTGTAAGGGGACTGTAGGTCCTTCTGACGCGGACAGGGCTGCCTTTACCCGGGCTGCGAAATTAGGCATGCCATCCGTGGTGGAAGCTTATTTGCAATATCCACTTGATCCGGATGCGCAGGATCTGGCCCTCATATCAGTTGTCTACGAAGAAACCGCATGTCTGGATGTTTTGCGCCTGCTTTTCGAAGCAACGGCCACCCTGGAGTGCAGGGACGACACTGGCGCTACTCCACTTCTTTTGACAAGTGACTGGGTTGTTGTTAGGGAACTTAAATTAAAAGTTACTATATTAAAGAAACCCTGTTATATACTTTATAGGTGTATATATATATACATATACCCAGTATGTTCACTTGATTTAAGTTCCTTAACACTTAACAGCAACCTAGGTGAGGATGGCAACTTGGAAGCAACGCGCTTGCTCATCGAGGCTAAGGCAGACTTGCAAGCTTTGGACGACGACGTCATGACGCCTCTTTGCGCAGCAGCCTCCAATGATCATGTGGAGGTTGCGCATCTAAAAAATCCCAATTTCACAAAAGGCGCAGGCACGCAGATAGTTTAATGCTTGTGGTCCAAAAGGGTACCTACATGAACAAAATCGGGAACAAAATCGGAGGCAACACATAATAAATGAACCCAGAACCCTACACCCACATTTGGAGGTTGTCCAGCTTCTGCTTCGGGCCGGCGCTGAGATTAACTTCTTGGCTGCAGCTGTGGAAGGTGCGTCTCCCCCAGCGGCAGCTGTGCATTGGGCCTGCGGAAGGGATTCTGTTACCGGACTGCTGTTAAGGAGTTTATATTAAGTTACCAAACTATGGAAAACAGAAAAACAGTGGCTTGAGATTCTTTATAACCCTAACTTTCATGATGTTGGCTCCTTGGCATCTAGATTGTGGCGATGTATAACCTGTGTAGAAGCCGGTTTCCATTATGTCTTGTGTGTTCTTTTCCATTTGGTTCTCCATGATGGTAACCCTATACCTTAATCCACAAGCCCTCAACCTCAACCCCTTAACCAACTTAGATTTCCCCCACCCTAACCCCTACACCCTAAGTTAGCCCAGGTTCCTTATCAGCAACCCAGGTTGGGGTTCTGCAGTTGTTACTGCAGTCCGGGGCTGACATAGATTTGACTGATGGTGAAGGCAAGACACCCCTTGCTGCGGCAGCCAGCTACTAGGCTGCTGCTAGGAGATGCATATTTAGGTAGGGTTTAGAGCTTTCGTTCGGAGTTTACGGTCAGGGATTACAACAATACAGAGACTCAGACGTAAAAGACAATAACATATGAATGGAAACTAGGCTTACGTGCATAGGTTGTTAAAGAACTTGAATGAGGTTAGTATAACATGGGTACATAAGTAATAGGGGCTTCATCATGTTGGTTGCTTTGCTCGCGTTCCCTCAAAACAATCCAGGTTGTGGCTTTGTGGAGCCTGTACGTTTGCTGTTAGATGCTTCTGCAAATGTGCTTTCTGCAGATCGGTACGGCGACACAGCCCTAATTGGAGCATCTCGCGTGGGCCATTCCGAAATAGTCAGTTTGCTTCTGGATGCTGGGGCTGACCGGAGCGTTGCTAACAACAATGGTGCTGCAGCTCTTCATGTGGCATCGATTGGAGGCCATGAGGAGGTTGTTGGCTTGTTGTTGCCGGTTGGCATCGATCTTTTCGACAGATATGGCAAGACTGCCCTTCACTGGGGGGCACACGCTGGTCACGATGGAGTCGTGCGTTTGTTGTTGCGCGCGGGTGGTGATGTAAGCAAGGTTGACAATCGAGGCAAGACTGCGTTCCTGGAGGCATCTTCCCGAGGATGGTCCAGGACAGCACAGCTGCTGTTGCCAATGGTGTGTGACAAGGACCTGGCAGATAATTTTGGCAGGACAGCTCTTCATTGGGCTGCATTTCAAGGTGACCAGGAGCTGGCATGCATGTTGTTGACAGCACAAGCTGACGCGAATTTGAGGGACTTGGGTGGCGCAACAGCCCTGCATGTCGCAGCTTTGCGAGGCCGTATTGAAGTCATGCGTTGGCTTCTGCTTGCAGGCGGTGACGCGAACTTGGCTGACTGCAACGGAAGGACGCCTCTTTTTACGGCATCTAAATTGGGACATTCCGACACTGCAAGCTTACTCTTGGAGGCTGGGGGGTTGTGAGCCAACTCCTTGTCGCTTACGTCTCAACAGTTGCCAACATCACCATGGAAAAGTCAGACTACGTAACTTGCTACGAAAACGTATAAGTGTAAACCCATGCCGCGCCCAACCCTACTTGAGCAGTTGTGTTTCAAGCAATTAGGGGCACTATTCGCCACAGCTTTGAGCAAAACGATTTGTTGCCGTCGTCTATCTTGAGTCTAACTTGGTTCAATCACGAAAAAAGCTGAAACGTTGCACAGAGGCGCGAGCTTCAACTGACTTTGCTGACGAAGACGGTGGGACAGCTCTGCAATGGGCATCCTTCGCTGGCCATGAGAATGCTGCTTACATCCTCGTTTAGCGTTATTACAGCTCATCCTGATAAACATGTTCCTTTAAGATCATAATCTATCATACTATATGTTGGAAACAGCTATCTTTCATAGTGGGTGGGGGCTTACTGGTCGGGGGAGCACGATCCGAGGAAGTAGGTCACACTCCACCACGCAAGCATCGAACCCAAAAAAGGATTCCTGTTTACCGTTGAGGGATCGAAAAGGGTTACTAAGCAGCTTCATAGAGAATAGGATTTGCAGGGTCTGAGCTCCCCCAAGCAAAAAGCAAACTCGGAACTTGAAGACGGGTACATGGTAGAGTATTGTCTTTCAAAGCAGGGTTCCCCAGTCGTACCGCTTTCCTTTTTTTGTTTGAGGTCTCCTGGTTAAAGCTGAAGATAAGGAAAAAGGGTACTTTTATTATTAAGGGGGTACTGGGGAACCTAGCAAAACGGGAGCCATGTTAGCTCAGGGGTAAACCTGGCGCGTCAGACCCCTTCTGCTTCTTTGGAAGCAGAAATCCGTTTTACTGGGGATTTAATAAGCAGGACCCTCCTTGTACCCTTTTAATTATGTACGTGTAGATAGTCCTCCCTAATAGAGGGCATTTTAGGTACATAGAGGGTACATGGAGTCTAGGAAGGAACTTAGCCATTCTAGAGCACTCCTTATTCCTCAATACTCTTTTGAACTGTCCTCCATGTCATAAGAATGGCGCAGAATGTTCCGATCGGCTTCAACACTTGTATGGTTCAAAAAGGCACGTCATGTCAGCTGGCACGCCACATTATGTATGGCCCATTAGTATGGCCAACCTATCAGATATGTTGAAAGGGTGCCAGCTTTGGCCAAGTAGATGCTTTCTGCAAGAACCTACCACTCTCCACGCAAGAAAGCTGAGAACAAAGGTTGTGCGACTACTGTTAACAGCCGGCAGCAAGCCCGAATTGGCTGACAGAAGAGGCAGCGGAAACGTCCAAAAATGGCAAATGGCTAGGGGTTCCGGATATAAGTCTATATTCTTGCGCCCCGAACCCAAACGGCAAATTCTTGAACCCCTGTACGCCTGGGCATCGTATATTGATTGCATTAGTTTGTCTGTTTAGGTGTTTTTGGCTGTTGCTTTGTTTACCTGTGGGGTTTTCCAAAAGTCACAGTGAGGCAGGTCAGCCCTGCATTGGGCAGCTTACCGAGGCCGCGTCGGGATAGCGCAACTGCTGCTCTGAACTGTTTAGAGTGTAGGGCTGAAGTACAGTTCCCAAAGGGTTATTTTGAAAATTATGGGCCCCCTCAGGTCATAGATGATATTACGACCTTTCATATTAGGGACACCAAAGCTGGGCCATAATCTCGGGAGTTATCCCCAAGGTTTCAGGTCCTTAGGGCTTAGGGTTTGTGAAGAAGAGTGGGGCCCGAAAGGGCTTTCATACAAGTATTCATGGGCCCAAGTACGTTATCGGTTTCTAGACCCTTTGGATTTCTTGGTCCAAACGAATGCGTTTTCTAGACGGTACAAGCTCAATTACGAAAGACACCTTGTTTATGAGCGTGCCAGCCCAAAAGAGTTGGATCCCACACCATGCAGAATGCAGACACTGCTTCCTCTTGCATAACCGCAGTACCTTACACATTCTACCTTTTACCCCCAACCCACAACCGTAAATCTTAACCCAAATTCTAGAGCTTGGACCCTACACTTAATCCCGAACTTAACCCGACTAACCCGACATCTCAAACTGAAAGCCTAAACCTCAAAAACAGCCTAGGTTGCTAACGCGCGGCGCTGGCAGGGACCTGTCTTTGGGTTTGCTTCAGCGTTTTCATGGTTTACTGTTGAAGCTTGAGCCTGCATATGCTCAACTTGCCATTTCATTCGGAATCCTAAGCCACCAACCCATTGACCTTAAACCCAACACGCTACTCTCATGCTAATCCTATGCCTTGGTACCGAATCGATTTTCCCAAGCCCTTAGAGAGCAGGTGGCTTCTGAACCCTTAATCCTCAATCTCAAAGGGGTGCTTCAAAAACAGAATTCACATTCTCCATCCCCAAGTATAATATTCCATGTTGTAAGGCGAACCCCCAAAAGGGACCTGAGTTGTGGAAACTCCTAAGCCCCACTGTCCGTACTGTGGAAGACGAACTAATTGCTATATCATTGTGAGGTCCATCTGAGCTCCTCATTTATGTGCCCAACATTAACTTGGGGTATTTGCATAGCTGCTGTGAGAATTTCTGGCAACATCTGCTTTGACTGAAAGCGCTTGAAGCCAGAAGGGTCTTGAGCGTAGGGGCCAGGGCTTGGGGTTGCGAGGGGATAGGATTTTATGCGCGGAAGGGGTGTATCGGCTTGGGACTCTGTGGCACCTAACTTCCTGTGTGGGATTCCCCACTGTCAACTTGACCTTGCGAACTTTCCAGAAAAATTGCTGCCCCAAAGGTCTTTGTACCACACAGAATTAAGGAGTTTCCAACAATTAGGGGTACCTTATTGTGGGTCCGCATAATAAGGATTCTGGCAATTATTTTGAGGTCTGTTTTGAGGCTCCTTAATTTTGGGAAATCACGACTTAGGTCGGCTGATGATGCAGCCGAACTCGAAACTTTGCTGCGGGGGCTTGGGGCAAATGTCGATTTGACCAATGATCTGGCAATCCTCAGTGCAGACCACGGCTGAAAAGGACAGGTTTAGGATTTTAAGGTTTAGGGTGTCGGGGATCCCAATATCAACCCTCAGATGCTATCATCCTTCCTATTGCGGCCCGAAAAAGGAATTCCTTGAAGCGCCCCCATGGTTCTGTGGACAAGTGAAAGGCTGCAGTCAAGAGCGCTTCAGACATTATGCAGTTTTGAAGGGTTTAGGGTTTAGGGTTTTAGGGTTCAAGGTTGTTTGGTTAGGAGTCGGGTGGGCCCCTTTTAATACCAATAAAGTGCATATTCTTTTCTAAATTGCCGCAAAGTGCAGATTTACCCCAAGTTTTTCTGCGGCAGCAAAGCAGACAAGCATGCCTCCTCTGCGAAGCCAGGGTTTTCCGGTTGTCTTGCTAAAGCCCGGAATAGTAGCTTCCATTCCGTTGTTCATTATCTTTTCCATTTGATTCTAAACCCAAACCCTAAACCGTACATATCTCAAAAATCGTTACAGGGGCCTAATGGAGTCTCAAATGCCCCCGAATCGTAGATGCCAGCACCATCCCGCATGTTGGGTTGAGCTTACCTAGAAAGTGGCCCATCATTGTGGTTGCTGCTTACCTAACTTCCTACCACTTTGGGGTAAAGAAACCTTTTTGTTAGGTAACACCAGCAAAACTCAAAAATCCATAGAAAACACACAAAATAACATACAACATAAAAGTAGCCCCCCATTTTTAGGTAACTAGGCTTGCCAGGTCAGTGGTAGGCGGGGTGACAAACCTGTATTTTTTGTTTGTTTGTTGGGCCTGGCACTTTCGGTCTAGGGCTTACTGGTCCAGAGTCCAAGCACCATAAGAACATGATTTCCAAGGCAAACCACTGAGCATGCAATTTGTCACGTCGTGGGCCTGTGTGGATTGTGACATCATTCAGATTTCCATCCTGGATCCGAAGCCCTGAACCTTAGCTTTTCACGGGCCCACAAACGTTTAGGGCCCAAACCGCGGAAACTACAAATTCTTGAGGCCGGGCGAAAACTTCTTGTGCAAATCTTGAAAATCCATATCCTCCATCTTAAGAGAGTATAACCCCATGGGGGCTCATCAATCATATGCCTTAATACAGTATAGTAGTTTCCATTTTATTTTCCTTTATCCCAACATAACCCCAATATCGAACCTTCAACACTTGTACCTTCAAGCCAAAGTTGGTCATCACCCAGGCCAGAACACGCCGCCTGCTTCAAGTTCAAAACCTTCAATGCGATGCAGGCGCATTGTGACAGGACTCTTGAGCCTCCCCCTAACCCTAAACCCTAAACCCTTCCCTTTGCAATGAACTCCAGCTCTACCCTAACCTGAGCCTCGAACCCCCCACTTACACTCTATTATGGGTGGTTGTCAAAATTGAGGTCCCTTTTTGGGTACCCTAAATATTAGGTGCCGTATTATAATAGGGATCCAAAAAGGGACCATAATTTTGACAACCACCCATATACCCCGATTAGGGGACCATGTCCCCCTATGTAAGGGTACGAGAAGGGTCCTGGAAGAGATTTTCTGAAGATCCTGCCCTGGTGTTGCACGAATTTGTGAATCTGGAGCATGGACCTCTGCTGGTAAAAGGAGATCATTGAATTCTGGGTTGCCATTACGAACTTAAATTAAGTTCGTATAATTAATAAGGATGCCATCAGGTTTTTGCTCTGGTATTGTTCAGAACATGTCTGCCATGGTGCCCACACAAGCTCAGAAATCAAACTAATGGCTGCCGCAAGTAGGACGTCATGATAGTGACTGGCATTCAATAGGGAATGAGCGGGTGTAATCCTTATAAAATCCCTACATGATGCATTCCGGTCTTCCCTGACAATCCAGAGTAAGATGAGTGACAGTAGGCATCCCAAGCTTACAGTTTTGCAGACTTTCCATACAGCTTGAAGCTTGGCGGGTTTCGGGATTAGGGTTAGGATTTAGGGCGCCTGGCCACGGCCGAATCAATGGCCCTCAGAACCCATTGTGATCTTTGCTGAACCACTCCTTTTGCACGCCACTAAGTCATAGTACTGTTATAAATAGTAGTTGTAAAAGTAACACCCATAGTAATAGTTTCTTGTAACAGTAACACTAATAGTAATGGTAATAATAATGGTAACAGGAAGAGAAGTAGTAGTGTTAATAAGAACAGTACAAATTGGGGGAAGAGTGCTGCCTTGGTTTCTTCGTCTACGGCACGTTTCAACGCCTCCATGCTTGCGCAGCAACTTTTCGATCTTAGGACTCGTGCTAACTCAACCACAACCAGGAGCATTTTGAGGGGTAGTATCAGCCCCAAACAGAAGCTTGCTAGTGGTAAGTAGGGAACAAGGGA